CCAGCCCAATTGGCTAAGTAGTAGACGAACTGGCCTAGTAACGTGAAGGTTCTGGGCTCGACGCCTCTTGGAGTCGGTCAACAGTACATATTACCGATGAATCCCAAACTAGAATGAAATAGCTGTCCAGTATTCCATGCTGGTTTTCAATGGATCTCCAACCGACATCAAAATTTTATAAATTCACTTATTCATTGTAGAAGTTGAACTTGAATAGCTTCATTGTGAGAACTTTCACAGTCAACATAAGCAATCAAAAAATATATTCCACACATAAATAAATTACTCAAATTTATTATGGTAACAGGATTTCATCATGAGCTGACATAGGTTAGAGAATCAATGTTAAACCTGGCAGTATTGGATAGCTGCTTCGTCCTTGTTTGGGACTCTTCATCAGTAAGCAAACTAAGACGAAACAGCTATCAAGTACTCTCTGTTGGTTTCCAATTGATCCTCTAACAACCGATATCAGCTCATGATGAAATCCTGTAGCCAATCAAATAAAATCCCTGTAAAGTAACACTTGAAAATTTTGGTAACTTTGTCCGATTTCTATTTCATTCAACTTATTATGTGCCAATCGTTGTATGTAAACAAACACTGAAATGCAGTAATTATAACTATCTGTTTGGTTGATCTATTCTATAACGCATAAACTTTTCACAGACAATAACCGAGGTTGTGATTGGTTGTGTTTTTTTTTCTGAATAATGCACTTGTATTAACGAATAGTTCGATTGCTTTGTCTGTGACGCGTAACTATTTATCTTACATTTCATTGGTATGTAGACTGAGCTTTAACGCTTATACATTATTTATTGATTAATTTGATTTAAATACAGGATTGCATAACCTGGTATTTCCTTATCATAAGATGATGTGACTTCAAATCCAAAATACAACACCAAGAAATTGATAAAGAAGATATTACAGTAGTCTATGATATTAACTCATCACGTACCAGTGATGAGAAAGCTGTCTCCTAGCCAAAATTGTAAACAACAATTTAAGTCAATGTTCACGTTCCGAATCGAGGTCATGAGAAAAAACAAGAACAAAGCCTAACCTTGAGGGACTCAACAACCAATCACAGCAGATTTAACGTGGGCAGATATGATTCGCAGATATATGGCTTAACTTTCTAAGAAATTTTCTTTCACAATTGGCACAAAATAACCTTCAGCAAAAAAGCAACCAATAAGAAGACGTTGTTCTCTGCTGATAATAACGCTAATAATAATGTACATAAGAATCTATAAATATCTCTTGATTTTCTCAATAAAGGATCTGTTGCTTGGCCCTTGTCTTCTGTCGTTACACTAGTATTTCCATTACCGCAAGTTTTGATATCATTTCCAGTCTACTAGAATCAGATACAGAAAGATATCCACTGCACACCAGTGAAACGCTTAAAATTCTGTCTAGAAAGTAATTATTTTACATTTAAAGGGAATTTATATAGACAAACAAATGGTGTTGCTATGGGTTCACCGGTCTCCCCAATAGTCGCTGACCTTTTCATGAAAAGATTCGCAGATAACATCTTTTCAAGCATACTCACTCCTAAAATATATTGAAGATATGTAGATGATGCTTTTGTAGTCTTAAAACGAGATCTATACAGTTCATTCCTGGAGAAAATAAACTGTCTATCTCCCAGAATCCAGTTTACTTCGGAAGCAGAATCAGACGTCGATGAACTACCATTTCTAGACTGCCTAGTTAAGAGGAGGGAAAACGGATATTTTAATATATCTATATTCAGGAAGAAAACCCGCTCCAATAAATATTTAGACTTTGGATCATCACACCCTATCAACGAAAATGTATCAGTTGTTTCAAGTCTCCCTAGACGAGCACACTCTTTGGTGTTAACAAATGAAAAAGAAAAATCAAACATTCCGAGACTTTCAAGGAAAACAACTACCCAAAGAACTTCATCAACAAAATCGACACTGGCATTAAGTATGGTCGAGAAAATGTATTCCAGAGACATAGGCCTCAACAGTTGTCATTCCATATAGATCAGAAACCTCAGACGATAGAAATCAGAAAAGTACTCAATAAGCACAACATCAGACACATACACTGCAAAGCAACCTTGTTCATATAAAAGACCAAATCCCTAAAGATTCCCTATCTAATTGTGTCTATAAAATAAAATGTTTGCTTGGAATGTGATGCGATACACATCGGACAAACATCGCCAGGGAGAAATCAAGACCAGAAGAAATGAACACCGTAGAGCCGCCTCCGTTCAATCACCGAGAAATCCAGTTGAACTAGAAAAGCCTGAAAAATCATCAGCCATAAATTTACACGCCATAGAACCAGGTCACAAAATTGATTCTGACAATATTGAAATCATCATCCAGAAAAATTTCAGAAATCACAAAGAACGTCTAATATCATCAGAAGCACTTCACATCAAGTAGAATCCAAATTGTCTGAATAGGAATGATGGACTAAAACAGAATTTGACCTGGTTGCAACACTTCCCTCCCCCATGAAGTGACAAAATCAACAGGAATGTGACAAGCAATTTCACTATACGAACAGATGTTGCTTGTATAACTTTACACACTTATCAAATCCAAAAATCTACAGTTGGCTTTGTTATCTTTACCAGTTGGCCAACTTGACAACGTAAAAATCACTCCATGCTGATGAACGATGATTGTTGCTGAGATTTTGTAAATTCTGGTTTAATATCACTACTTCGATAAAGCTATTAGCAGCATTAAATAGCGAAACGTCATTAAAAACACTAATATCGTTTTGTTTTTCATTCATTGGAAATACAAAAGCGCTTTATAACAATGAATATTACACACTAAATGCACAAATTTTTCAAACTGTTTAAAGTGAACTTGGTTTGGACATATATAAGATAAGATCATTACATTTCACAGTTGAACTTACTTCTTCATTGGATGACAGCCTAATTTATTCAGAACATAAATAATACGTAAAGACGTTCGCTGGATGTATATATCTTAGGAGGCGTGTGAAAAATTACTAAGACAAAACATTATATAACAAGGTAGCAAGTTGAATAAAAAATAGGGTGCTTCATATTCCAAACATCAACAACCAGAACAAATTATAACTGACGGAAGAAATCTCAAGGGAGTCACCTCTTTCACTTATCCAGGTAGCATCATTTCAACTACACGCAGTACATATGAGGATGTCAACGCCAGCTAAGATAGAGAAAGCAAAGATACACCATTAATTCAAAATCACCGTGAAAATCTACTCCAGTCAGCCATAAGAAACAAGATTTGGATTCCGTTCAGCACTAATGTCAAGTCAGCCTGCGAGACTTTTCACCAGAAGCATTTCCAACAGAATATTATAGACTTTCATCAACAGGTGACTTAGCTCGTAATTGAATATCAGACCGTCAGTCAGAAAGGATAGGCAACAAGGAATTCTGGCAACTGACCAACCAATGGGCTGTCGCTCCACTAATTTGTAGAAGGAAATGGAAGTGGATTGGACACACACTGAGGAGATCGTTGGGCGATATTAACCCGCCAAGACCTCAAATGGAAGCCGAATGACAAACAATTTGGGAGACAGTCCTAAGGTGGCATGGAGGAGATTGTGCGAGGAGAAGGAACCTTATGGATAATCGTGGAGCCAACTGAAAAGGACTACAGGGAACAGGGTGAAATGGGAATGTGTTATCGAAGCCCTAGGTTACAGTCGGAACCCAAGGAAGCTGGCTTAAATTCGTGGAAGAAGAAGGCCTCTGGTTGTTTTCACATATTGCAAACAAAGAAAACACCATAGGTTTGAATGGATTCGATAAATAATAATCTTAAAATCATTGCCCAGTGTTCTCAGAAGCTCTTCGCCATCCGCGTAAAAGGCAAACTAATTAATCTGGCCACAGCTATGTGGATTCACTGGCTACAATGTCTACACCAAATAGCTTGAGATCAGTCGCAGAAGCACGAATTAATTTACAATTTATCATCATCTGAGATTTCGGAATTTTACGAGTGAATACCATTGGTTTTCATTTTAATCTTTTTGGTTACATAGACTCTTAGTACTCGTGATATAAGTACTTTTTCATAGGAGTCCACTGCTTAACTTCTCTTTTACCTAGACAAATTGATTATAGAAACTTGAACAGATACGCAACTGTGTTAGATCCCACATCCTTTATACCTTTTTCATTTGACCTGGTGTGAAATCTTAACGTGTCGGTGGGAATATATTACACATCGTACCAGTAGTTTCGAAATGTGTTTCTCTTAGTTCACGAAAAGTTTCGATCAATACATATCACGACAGCTAATCACTGATGGCCGCTATACTATATCATGAACTGGTCGACTTTTAAAAACAGATCAATGAATTAAAAGCTAGTAGTTGTACACACAGGTGTGATCACATCAAAAATCTAGTAGTTCTTGGCTCAATTCCTCAAGGATCTGTGAGTGTGTACAGCTGAAAAATTCGACAATGAGTCTAGGTTAGTGTTACATTTCACACAGCATAGAACTTCAATATGCGAGCATAAATACATTACACTTGACTACTTACAACCGACCAACTCTGAACAGACCCCGAGTTAGCCTTACTGATGATAATACTCACTCAGCTATCCAACCTAAAGTAGGTGGGGCTAGTTCTGCACTCAGAAGTCAATGGTTGGATGTCAAGCATTAAAGCCAATAAATAATACCGCCACAGTTGACTGCAGAACTGAACTGAACTGCATCGGAAAAACACTTTCCTATTAACACAATTCACAACCTACCCAGTACCATTAGTTGAATAAAATACTTGACTTTATTTATACTAGGAGATTCTATAATTTTTTTTCCTGCTTTCATGACACTTAATAAACACAATATTTGACTAACGCCTTTAGATTAAGACTTCTCGAAAGTATAAATACTCCATACCTTCCTGAAAATGAAATCCATTTAATCGAAAACCAACTACTAGAGCACAAATGATCAAAAAACCTTTGAAATCGAACAGAATCCCCACTTTGTAAAATATTATTTAATAATATACATGTAAACGTAAAATGCAAGCCATATATGTGATTGCAGTGAATTGAGAAGATATTGAAAAGAAATACCATGAGAATATTATACAATGAGAACTAGGAGCCGAAAAGGAGAAAAAGAAACAACTACAGAAAATGACAAGTATGCATTTAGAAACGCCGTCCACGTCCACGTCCACCACGATTGAATTGTCTTCTGCCTCTATTAGAACCATTACTTTCTACACGAGACCACTGGCCAACTGGTGGTGTATATAATGGCCTGTCAGCACGTGCCTGTCGAGTGCCTGTAGAATTGTGATTATTTTGTTCTGTATCAAGAGGACGTTTAGTACCAGGAAGAGGGTTGGTAGATGACTGAACCCATGATAAGGGTATATTTGTATTTTTAAACACTGGTGGATTGTGGAAAAAGCATCGTACCATCCGTTGAATGTTCATCATAAGCTTTTAAAAGTAAAAGGAAATAGCATTATATACAAGCTGTTGAACTGGCACCTGAATATATATATGTATATAAATGGCTATGCTTAACGCCAAAATATAAAGTCGAGGTCTCATGGCTTTTTAGTAGATAGGAATATCTTAGTTACCCAGAAGAGTTTCCCTACATCAGGCTATGAGCCACACTTACCACGTGAGCGCCAAAGATGCCACCCGATTGTATAGACTGAATCAAGTGAAGCGAGATTTGAACCCGGAACTCATAAACTGAAAATCGAATATTCAAGTCAATCAGTCATATTTATCATCATATAGACTACACCAGCATCCACTTATTGTCCTCGTTTATGCCTGTGAGACATGGTCATTGAAAGATGTGAAAAAGGCTAGCTGTCTTTGATCATAGGTGTATGTGTTCTATCTCCCGTGTCTGCCAGGTGGTATAATAGGGTGAGTAATATTGAGGTTGGGCGTCCAGTGATAGGTAAGGAGGGAAAATTAAGTGACGAGGATGTGAAGTTACGTCGATTGAGATGGTTAGGATATATGTTAAGCATGCCTGCTCTAGCCATCACCTTCATCGACGGGCAATGTTAGCTGAGTGACATAGGATGGATCAGGTTGGGAAACACCTAGTGATTGTTAAACCAAAACATGGCTTTATCAGTCAATGAAATCCAAAACAGTCAGTTCAAGCCAGCCACGTAGGGAGGTGTACACTGCCTCACTGGTTAGGCTCTTCGGGATGGTAAAAACCAATGGCTGGAGACAATTGGTGATTTGTCATTTCCAATGCAATTCTACTTTTCTTCCATATTCCTATTCTTTTTCCTTAACTCACACTTTTGTTTATTATTTCTCTTTTGAATCTCTCTTAACTCTCTTCTCTTGTTTTGTGTGCTACAGGAAGTGAAGTGTAGCAAGGAGAACTGCTTACTCTCTTACAATATCGCCGCGCATGGGCAGCGATGATTCGAGATGTTCATGAAGCCGGCTGATCCTCCCGTAGGAGATAGCCGAAGTAAGCAAGTAAGAACTGCTGCACTTCTATGCCAAGTTCCTTGTTGAAACCAGTAAAACGTGAAAGTCTCTGTTCACTGGTCCATCTACTCAAATAAAACATATTTCACACCGAACTAATTTAGTCCCACTAAAATCTTGCTTCACTATCTCAAACATTACAAAATCTAGGCAGTTTACCTTACCACCTTGCTATTTATTCTTGAGAACCCTACCTGGCAAAATGTGGTAGTCATAAAAAACCTCTATTCATAATGAACAGTGTTACTTTCTACTGACACTACTCAGTAATCTGTTGAGATGCAGTTAAGCAGAACAAACATTCCTCTTGTATAAAGCATATAAAGCAATCTCGAGTATTATTGTGCCAAAGCAAACAAATCTAATAGTTGTGGAAGCCCATCTCACGTTTTAACCATCATCAGCCAAAATCCCAACCTTATAGTCTTAGGGGTAGAGGCTGTATCAAACAGTTAAATGATTTGCCTTCATAAACAACCTGGTAAGGCAGAGAATGGGTAGACTAAATTATCTGCCTAATTGGGTTAATAGGAACTCTCAGCCTTTTATTTTTTTTTATTATAGCTTGATTCCACACCGCATTTTTGGTACAAGTATGGAATTTTCAGTGTGATATCGGTAGCCCAAATTTTACAGACCGACCACTGATATCAGGTGTGCGTCGGTAGGGGATCGAACCCCAGACCATATGCATGGTCGGCGAGAGTCCTAACCGCTGTGCCACCGGTGCATAGTTTGTCCCCGAATGGGACTGTTGGTCTGAATGCCATGACGATGCACCTATGTAATATATTTAAACTCGGATAGGTACTCATCAGGTACCATGTCTACGTCAGAAATGATACATTAGAACATGTCCAGCAAAGACTGAAAGAGCAACCAGTCCTTCATTATCTGTATGTAGATTGATACACCTGACTGCCTTACGCCCTATCGTCAGACTGCAATACTTCAATCCTACACAAAAAATGAAGTTAAATGACAAGCTACATAATGAACAAATAATATAACTATTTTTCATTAGAGCATGGAGAAGAAACAAGATAAAGAGATTCTACAATATACCTGATAAACTTATAATTGCTACGATAAGCATTACCTGATCATATAACACACAAAAACAATCAGCTTACCCTATGAGCCATGACGCGAAGTTTACTCTCCTCTGATTGAGGATCTTTATCCAATTGGCTAGCTATTGTGGAAGAGTAGTCTTGTGCTAACTGACTCAGATACTGAAGGCGAGGTCTAATAGTACGCAGTCTGTCAGTACCACTTTGGACAAGAGATGATTCTGGTTCCTTATCGCCTGATTTCCCTCCGAAATATTCCGGAAAGTAACACCCAAGTTGACAGCATAGAAATAATACTGCTTCCAACTCCGAAAACTTTAACCCCATATGGTTAAGGGTTGGTTTGTCATCTGTCACTTTTTGTGCCTGAATGTCATCAAATGAAGATTATTTCAAAACTTACACTTTTATCTGTATCTTCTGAGGGGATGGTAGGTAGAAACATCAAAAGTATGCTGAAGACAGAGTCTAAATATTTCACTAGGTTTTCCTGCTTCACAGAATTGAGTGCTGGGCTTGGAAAAGATAGCAACTCAGCAGTCAACTGAAGTAAGCTGAGTCGTTCATCAAAAGTATCTTCAGAAAAATCTCCAAATTGTGGAAGGAATTTCTCTAACAAATATATATACAAGTCATGAGCATTGACGTTTTTCTATGCGAAAAGTGGATAGCATCAAAAGCTAACTTACGGATACACATAAGGCTGCCTGTTTACAACTTTCGCGAATTTGAGCTACACAAGCACGATCACGAGCATTAAACACAGGGACAGCTTGAAGAGCTTGTTGAGTGATCATACCGACTAGCTTTTGTCTACCAATAAGTGTAGACATGCATTTTAGGGATGCCAATATAGAAATAAGCATAGGAAATTCCTCCTCAGATACATCGTGTAATACTCGGTTAATTTGCTCAACTAAAAATGACTCCAGATCACTCGTTAACACATCCTCTGGCAAAGTTTTTAGGCGTTCGGACAGAAACTTGAGGGTGTTTTCTCTGGAATTTTCTGCATTCATTGACAGAAGTTGGCTGAATATTCCAAGCAAAGTTGCTTTCGGTTCGGAATGAAGCAATTGCGACAATGCTAAGGAAATAACATTCAGCTCCTAAAAGTTATACGTGAAATTTAAAATTACCTTCTTATCATCTGTTTGGTACATCTGAACCAAAACATCGGCAACACGGGGGACGAATACACGTGCATGTTTGCAGAATTGTAGCAAGTCATGAACCACCTGGCTGCGAACATTGACATCCTCATCGTCACACAAGTCTAAGAAGCAGTTGAAACTATCCTCCAAAAGACTTTCGAAAAGTTTGCTAAATCGTGCTATAAACTGACTAGACAATCTTTTCACATTTTCTTCTCCCTTGACACCCTCAAGAATAACTTTGTAGGCAGCCTCTTTCTAAATTAAGTAAGTAATCAATGAAGAGTAATCAAAACCTCTTTTAAATCCGTGGAGGCATCAGAAAGTTTCTCATAACAGGAATATAAATCGTCAGTAGTTGGTATGGTCATTTTGGTAACGCACAGTGTTGAAGTCCCGCTCGTCCAACAACAACACCTTTATTCTGAGCTGGCGTGAAACGAACTGATTTCTTCGCTCCCTCTTCTTGATTCTAAGGCAAAAGGTTCCTGATCTTTGGAAACTTGCTAGTAGATTGTTACATCACTCGACTTCCATAGCTCTGAGTCACTTCGAGGGGACAGTTGACTTATATGTTGTTTGCAATATGCTGCGTGTTAAGACCATGCTGCTGCTGTTGGTCTTCCAGTGTGGTTGAATGGATAGATAATAATAATTAAATGCCTAGGTAATGTTTTAGAGAATATGAATGTCGAAGACTCAATATCCTCTTGACTTACCAGTTTGTAGGAAAATTGATTTCTTTGAGCTTGTTTCTTGGTAGTAAGGTGACGGTTACTGCAATTCACTGGGTTTATGTGTAGCTATCCCTGTCATTCACCCAGTATAATCTTAGCCGATCTTCAGAGGAGTGATATAGAAGACTGATCACATTTGTAGTACACGGTGTCAAGAACATTACGTGACTATGGATGCACTCAAAACGACGAACAAACAAACTGACAGACAATTAAAATATGAAAACAAGCAAATGAATATGGAAGCACAATAAGCATAAGAGTGAATTCACCAGTTCATCATTGGCTACAATGTCTACACTAAATAGTTTGAGATTAATTTCAGAAGCACGAATAAGTTTAGAATTAATCATCGTCTGAGACTTCATAATTTTACGAGTGAATACTATTGGTTTTTAATCTTTTTGATTACATAGACTCTTAGTACTCGTGATATAAGTACTTTTTCATTGGAGTCTACTGCTTAACCTCCCTTTTACCTAGAAAAATTGATGATAGAAACTTGAATCGATACGCAACTATGTTAAATCACACATCCTTTATACCTTTTGCATTTGACCTGGCGTGAAATCTTAACATGTCAGCGGAAATATATTACACACCATACTAGCAGTTTCGAGATGTGTTTTTCCTATTCTTAGTTCACAAAAAGTTTTGATCGATACATATCACGGCAGCTAATTATTGACAGCCGCTGTGCTACACCATGAACTGATTGATCAGATCAATGAATTAAAACATAGTAGATGTACATATAAATGTGATCACATCAAAAATCTTGTAGTTCTTGGCTCAATTCCTCAAGGATTTGTGAATGTATCCAGTTGAGAAGTTCGATACTGAGTCTAGGTTGGTATTACACTTCACACAGCATAGAACTTCAATATGCGAGCATAAATACATTACACTTGACTAATTACAACCGACCAACTCTGAACAGGCTCCGTGAGTGAGAGTTGATGATAATGCTCACTCAGCTATCCAACCTTAAGTAGGTGCGGCTAGTCTTGCACTCAGGAGTCAATGGTTGGATGTCAAGCGTTAAAGCCAATCAATAATACCACCACAGTTGAATGCAGAACAGAACTGAACTGCATCGGAAAAACACTTTCCTATTAACACAATTCACAACCTACCCAGTACCATTAGTTGAATAAAATACTTGACTTTATTTATACTAGGAGATTCTATAATTTTTTTTTCCTGCTTTCATGACCCTTAATAAACACAATATTTGACTAACGCCTTTAGATTAAGACATCTCGGAAGTATGAATACTTTATACCTTTCTGAAAATGAAATTCATTTCATCGAGAATCAACTACTAAAGCAGAAGTCATCAAAAACCTTTGAAATCGAACAAAATGACTATTTTGTAAAATATTATTTAATAATATACATGTAAACGTAAAATGCAAGCCATATATGTGATTGCAGTAAATTGAAAAGAAATACCATGAGAATATTATACAATGAGAACTAGGAGCCGAAAAAGAAACAACAACAGAAAATGACAAGTATGCACTTAGAAACGCCGTCCACGTCCACGTCCACCACGATTGAATTGTCTTCTGCCTCTATTGGAACCATTACTTTCTACACGAGACCATTGGCCAACTGGTGGTGTATATAATGGCCTGTCAGCACGTGCCTGTCGAGTGCCCGTAGAATTGTGATTATTCTGTTCTGTATCAAGAGGACGTTTAGTACCAGGAAGAGGGTTGGTAGATGACTGAACCCATGATAATGGTATATTTGTATTTTTAAACACTGGTGGATTGTGGAAAAAGCATCGCACCATCCGTTGAATGTTCATCATAAGCTTTTAAAAGTAAAGGGAAATAGCATTAAACACAAGCTGTTGAACTGGCACCTGAATATATATATATATATGTACTTAAATGGCTATGCTTAACGGCAAAATATAAAGTCGAGATCTAATCTCCTACATCAGGCTATGAGCCACACTTACCACGTGAGCGCTGAAGATTACCATCCAATTGCATAGGCTGAATCAACTGAAACGAGATTTGAACCCGGAACTCATAAACTGAAAATCGAATATTCAAGTCAATCAGTCATATTTATCATCATACAGACTACACCAACATCCACTTATTGTTCTCCTTTATGGCTGTGAAACATGGCCGTCGGAAGTGGAAGGTGTAAAAAAAGGTTGCCTGTCTTTGGTCATAGGTGTTCGCGTTCTATCTCTCATGTTAGCTGGTATAATAGGGTGTTATATTGAGGTTAGGGGGTCGAGTGTTAGGTAAACAGCAAAAATCAATCAACGAGGTTGTTAAGCTACATAAATTGAGATGGTTAGGACATGTGTTACGCATGTCTAGCTTAACCATTGCCTTCCTCGACAAGAAATGTTAGCTGACTGACATAGGATAGATCAGAAGGAAAACATCTAGTGGTGGTCAGACCGAAACATGGCTTCATCAGTCAACGAAATCCACAACAGTTAGTTTAAGCCACATAAGGAGGTGTAGACTACCTCATTGGTTGGTTTCCTCGCGATGGTAAGAACCAATGGAGGCTGGAGACAACTGGTGGCGTGAATGCATTCACTCTTAGTGATTTGTCATATCCAATAAAACTATTGTTCTTCCATATTATTATTCTTTCCCCCTCACTCACACTTCTGTTTATTACCTCTCTTTTGAATCTCTCTTTACTCTCTTCGCTTTGCTTTGTATGCTACGTGGAGGGAATGTGGCAACTCGAACTGCAGCACTTCTATACCAATTTTATTGTTGAAACCAGTCAATGACTCATTGTAAAACGTGAAAGTCCTGTTTACTGGTCCATCTACTTAAATGAAACATATTTCACACTGAACTAATTTGGTCCCATTAAAATCTTGCTTTACTATCTCAAACACTACAAAATCTAGACAGTTTACTTTACCACCTTACTATTTATTTTTGAGAACCCTACCAACTAAATGTGGTAGTCATAAAAAACCTCTGTTTCCAATGAACAGTGCTACTTTCTACCGACACTACTCAATGACCTGCCGAGATGCAGTTAAGCTGAACAAACATTCCATTTGTATCCAAAGAAGTATATAAAGCAACCTCGAGTATTATTTTGCCAAGGCAGACAAATCTAATAGTTGTGAAAGTCCATCTCACTTTTTAACCATCATTAGCCGAAATCCCAACCGCATATTTTTAGGGGAAGAGGCTTTATAAAACAATTAAATGATTTGCTTTCATAAACAACCTGGTAAGGCAGAGAATGGGTAGCCTAAATTATCTGCCTAATTGGGTTAATAGGAACTCTTAGCCTTTTATTTTTTTAATTATTTTTTTTTATTATAGCTTGATTCCACACTGTATATTTGGTGCAAGTATGGAATTTTCAGTGAGTGATATCGGTAGCCGAAATTTTGCAGGCCGACCATTGATATCAGGTGTGCGTCGGTAGGGTATCGAACCCCAGACCATATGCATGGTCGGCGAGAGTCCTAACCGCTGTGCCACCGACGCATAGTTTGTCCCCGAATGGGACTATTGGTTTGAATGCCATAACGATGCACCTATATAATATATTTAAACCCGGATAGGTACTCATCAGGTACCATGTCTACGTCAGAAATGGCACATCAGAACATGTCCAGCAAAGACTGAAAGAGCAACCAGTCCCTTATAATCTGTATAGTGGTGGTTAGATTGATACATCTGACCGATTCACATCCTATCGTCAGACTGCAATACTTCAGTCCTACACAAAAAATGAAGTTAAGTGATAGGCTACGTAATGAACAAATAATATAACTATTTTTTATTAGAGCGATGGGGAAGAAACAAGATAAAGAGATTCTGCAATCTAACTGATAAACTTACAATTGCTACGATAAGCATTAACTAATCACATAACACACAAAAACAATCAGCTTACCCTATGAGCCATGACGCGAAGTTTACTCTCCTCTGATTGAGGATCTTTATCCAATTGGTTAGCTATTGTAGAAGAGTAGTCTTGTGCTAACTGACTCAGATACTGAAGGCGAGGTCTAATAGTACGCAGTCTGTCAGTACCACTTTGGACAAGAGATGATTCTGGTTCCTTATCGCCTGATTTCCCTCCGAAATATTCCGGAAAGTAACACCCAAGTTGACAGCATAGGAATAATACTGCTTCCAACTCAGAAAACTTTAACCCCATATGGTTAAGGGTTGGTTTGTCATCTGTCACTTTTTGTGCCTGAATGTCATCAAATGAAGATTATTTCAAACTTACACTTTTCTCTGTATCTTCTGAGGGGATGGTAGGCAGAAACATCAAAAGTATGCTGAAGACAGATTCTAAATATTTCACCATGTTTTCCTGCTTCACAGAAATGAGTGCTGGGCTTGGAAAAGATAGCAACTCAGCAGTCAACTGAAGTAAGCTGAGCCGTTCATCAAAAGTGTCTTCAGTAAAATCTCCAAATTGTGGAAGGAATTTCTCTAACAAATATATATACAAGTCATGAGCATTGACGTTTTTCTATGCAAAAAGTAGATAGCATCAAAAGCTAACTTACGGATACACATAAGGCTGCCTGTTTACAACTTTCACGAATTTGAGCTACACAAGCACGATCACGAGCATTGAACACAGGGACAGCTTGAAGAGCTTGTTGAGTGATCATACCGACTAGCTTTTGTCTACCAATAAGTGTAGACATGCATTTTAGGGATGCTAATATAGAAATAAGCATAGGAAATTCCTCCTCAG